AACCCAAACGTGCGACGACAGACGCCACGTGGCTGCACCCAAAGGCCCGACTCATCGGAATCACAACCATCCTGGGCAGACCTCTCCCCGAACCGTCGCCCCCAAAACAGACGGATCGGACGACCTTGAATGCGCTGCGCATGCCATTTGCCTTATGCTGCACGACATAGAGCGCCAACAGACCGGAAGTAACTCGCCCTAAGCCCTATTGCATCTATGCCCCTGAAACTTTGCCACATGAGATCTCAGTTCCGACCTGGGACTCCACCCCCACTTTCCCAACAATCCTTGGCACACCCCTTTTCGCACTTCCAGGCCCACATCCCACTCCGATCAGGAAGTCGCATCGGGCGTGAGGTTCGGGCGTCACACTCTCGCCACTCTATATATAATACGGGGGAACACCAACCAAACCTGGAATTCTCCCCAGCCCACGGGGTAGGTTGGTACCACAGCAGTGGTGCAAGAGCACGGCTTGTATCAGCCCCTCATCACGATGATGCGGGGTGATCAGGCATTGTCGATGGGGGAAACTGACGATGCTAGTGCCGAGCATCTTTGTCCGCACCTCTCCCTACCCCCCTCCAACCCCACATTAGCGGTGTCTAATGGCCAATATCATTGCTGCATAGCAACCAACAGTATTGCCCAAGGTACTACTAATGCTGGCTTGGAGGGCCCACGGGTTGCCTCTAGCTGGTAGAACACCAAGCTTGCCCAAACACGTACGTGACCCACGACCTCCTGATTGCAAATTTGGTGCCTTACCAATTGAGCTAGGCTTGCAGGCCCCACAGGCCCCACTCAGACTTTTGAAACAGCGAGGGTTTTCAATATGCAGGCTAGAGTATTGTTACACTACTCTCGCCATGTGCAAAACGAGGGTTTGAATCTTCCTCTTGAACATGGAAAAATACACCACCATGATTTTTGTATTTTGTGCATGTCGAGAGTAGTGGAGTCAGACCCTTGTAATCACCCGTCTTTCCCCCCCCCCCCAAATCGGTTGTTTTGGGAGATCCTTTCCACAAGACCACTCACGGGCTTTCGAAGAAACAATCGTGACACAATCTTTGGAAACGACACGACCTCCAAATTGTTTTTTCATAATTGCACCCTTGCCCAATATCGATCAAAATAGAAAATTGACCGTCGTCCACAAAAACGACCCGCCTATTGCTTTTCACGACCGCCGGTCCGCTCGCCTCCAACCCTAACCGCGACCGCCCCGTCTACCGGTCTATGTCTGGACAATGACCACACCCTTCAATCGCCCTTCTTGACGCCCAGTAAACCCCTTTCGCAGAGTTTGACATTTCTTGAAAAGATCTCCCTACTACACGACAAAGTGCAATCGGGTATAGCGAAACCTCCTGGCTGCGAACACATAGATTGTTGTTTGATGTTTCATGAGGTTGTGGTCGTATCTCTTGTTAGCCCGTCCTTTTTTTTTTCCAAAAGGCAAATTTCATTACCTCATGACCACTAAACTACTCCTAAGCCTATATAGGGGACCATTGAAGCTGTATTTTGGACCCCGCCCTAATTGGCAGTAGTCAGAACTCGGAGTAGTGGGGGGGGGTGCAACTAATGCAAAGACGGAGCATTTTGCTAGTAGCTGTGCCAGGATAATTGGTGGAAAGTGCCCATGCCAAAATAATTTCGGTTTCGGGAGTCCGAAGTTAGGTCGGTTCGTACTACGGGCCCGAACTTTTCCATGCGAGCACTACCTGTCCACTCATCGATCAAATGGGTCCTACCCGATCATGAATCTAGTGCATAAACAACGTCGGATTTATAGTGATATAGAAGAGGCGGAGGGGCAGTACCCATACACAAAGAATACAAGGCCCAAGTACGATACCGACCTATGAATCGGTTGTGAAATAAGTGTCGGATTCATAGTTTGGTGAAAGCAGGCCAAACAAGTTTTGGCCACGGTGCGAAGGCACCTTGCCCCCAAGTGAAAAAAGTTTGGGCCGGTACTACCAAATGCCCAAAACTGAAAAGGTTTCAACATTGATGCTTTCCACCAATTATCCCAGATGCGCTTCCCACCGGTGGGCCGACCCTACTCCCTGATCACCACCGTTTAGGGCGGGGGGCAACATACATGCCCTTAATTGTGAGAGCTAGCTATGCTTGAAGAGGTCTCCTGTACAGGCTTGGGAGTGGTGGTAGGTAGGTAACGAGAGGTGAAATTGAGGGAGAGGGGGGGGGGAAGGTACTCACAACGTAATACATTTTTTCATTTTTTTCTATTTGGTAGATAGGTAGTGAGAGGTGAAATGGAAAATCTTTGAAATGTCCCTTCGAGTCTAACTTCCATTTATTTGCGGTATGCCCCTTCGACGACCGACTAACCATATCGTGCCCCTGGGGCCTCTGAAGTTTCATGCAGGCCCCTGTCAGTGAGGGGTGCAACTTTTTAGCATGCCCCTGTGACAGTTCCTGACACTCGCAGGGGAGGGGAGTTACCCGGGCATAGTGGAAGTTTATAACCAGTACTGGTAGGGGCATACTGAACATATTTCAGACCCAAACGCCACCAAGGGTTTCTCAAAAACTTCAATTGTTGTCAGAAGGGTACAACATGATAACTGGTCGTCAGAGGGGCACTTCATAAATTTTCCTGATATCAAATTGAGAGAAGGGGAAAAAAAATATTGACTACGGAAAACATTTTATCTTTTTTTTTGTTTTTTGTAAGCAAAATATATTATTGTCTACTGCGTGGGCATGGGGAACGCAACTAAGGTAGCCAAAGCAATGAGACTGCTAAGCGCGCAGTGGAACTCGGGGTCAACGAGCTTCAAGGTACCTACAAATATTTTCTGCTCAACTTACGTCAGCACCTGTTTAGGCGGGATTCGTACCAGGCGTACAGTCAGAGTAATTTGTCTACCAATATCAGCATGTACCCATTGAGTGTTCGCCAGCCACGCTCAGATCATCATAACAGCGTTGTCATGTTCAGCCGATCGGATAATAAAAAAAAAATTAACGATTTTAATTAACTCGGAAGTTCACGCTGCACYGTCTCACCGTCCATCGAGTCTCACCTAACTAGTTACCCACATTCCCAACTGCCCGTTTCACAGTTCTTTCAATCACTATACCACTCAGCCCAGATCACAAATACACATCACTCAACAAAACCCTGCTTCTCGCACCGAGGGGTCGTCCATAACGTTTTCTTTCGTCAGGGTGAGACAGACGCGTTCAGTCTTCATGCAGGCTGCTGCCTCGAACTCGCTGAAGATTTGGAGCAGGCCGAGCGGATTGACCACGGACATCTTCAAGCGGTTTATCCTCGTGGGCCCCTAGAGATGATTAGCCCATGTGCGGGAGAAGGACAATTCTCACTCACCGTTTTTCGATTGTACCCTCATATGGACYGTGAAGYGATCCATTGGTGYTCCCTTACCGTCGCTTTTGCAATGACTCAGGCAGATCAACCGTCAGTTGATTATACTCCCTATACGTTATTTGGACGAATCACGAGGCACGGTCGCGTGCTCTGACAACAGAGCACARAAGTACATTCCCTCTCACTCCATGAGTTCGAAGATGAGYTGTGCCCKCCAGTGCRYCGATTGTTTTGTTTCTCCCTGTCGYGGCTCGRCCCTCAGCGACAGCCTGCYTGCAAACGAGTGGGCAYGGGCTTCAGGCTCGCGCGAGCCAGTCAAGATTCATCGCTCGCCTGGTCAGGCTTGCCTGCTCTCACCGCGCGCTCAGAGAGGAACTTACCTCCCTGGCGTCGTCGGAACAGGCACTTTCCCAACAAAGATCGGTATTAGAGCCAAATTCATCTAGGCCACCGCGCGCTGGAGTTTACTTGTTTCGCCCCGAGTCGCAGTGAGAGTCGCTCTCACGAGAGTAGCACATCCCCTTCCTGCTCGTTTCCGCTTGCACCCAATACCGAATCACTAAACGAGCGCGGAGGAACTGCTTCTTCTCTTCTGGCGCCCGGAGCCGCGCACCCGCTGCGCGTGCCACTTCAGTACTCTCCCGAGCCACCTTCCCAATCCTTGCTCATGCCCTGTCACAGCTCCAATCAGACAGGCGGTAAAGGGGCACTGAGCACGTCCTGCATGCCTCCCTATCGTTTTCCCTCCTGCGACTTTCCCCGCATAGACAAGTAGCGATCCGAGCAGGGCGCACCATGCGCTCCCTCCCCGTTTCCTTCCAACTGGCTGCTTACGGGTGCTTACAAGTGGGCGGAGTACGCCTCGCTCGCCCATTCGCCCTCCGTTCGTTCTCCTCACTCGAGGCAGGCTGCTGCGTACACCTTGCATGTTGCAGTCCTCTCCGTGCGAACGCATCACCGTCTCAACCCATCTTTCCTCCCCATATACTATCGGGCTCAGTCGTCCACCCCGGGCCACTTCGTCCCTGGCTGCTGCAACCGCCTGGGCGTGGACTCCTTCTCGTACCTACTGAGGCGGGGTACACCTTGCACGTGTGCCTCAGGCCCCCCCCCCATTCAGTCCCACTCGCAGCCTCCCTTTGTGCGCGATAGCCGCAGCGCAAGTATCACTGTACCTTATCAGTTAGGCCGAATTGCCATCATACCGCCTCGAACCTGAAATAAATGCCGCGTCAATCCTGGGCCTGAAGTAAACCACCGTGACGGTGTCGGCCCTGAAACATACCGTTCCGGTACGTGGTCGCACCTGCCCACACTGAATACCGTAGGGCGCCGCCTCACCTGGGTAACGCCGAACCTGCCCCGGTCCTGAACTAAGCAGCCGTAACGGTGCCGGAGCTGAAATATGCCCCGGTAGTGCTGGACCCGAGATAAATCACTGTGTTGACGCCGCAACTGTGAGGCAAATATCCATGATGATTGATCTAAAAATAACCCACGGTGATAGTCCCGTACCTGATATAGAATGCTGCAACGTTTCCGGGCCTGAATTCAAACTGTCGCCGAGGTTCCAAACCTGGAATAACTGTCGTAGCGGCCCCGGTCCTGAGAACAATTCACCGCAACTGCCCCAAACCTGATATTGAGTCTTGCGAACGTGTCCGAACCCGAAATAAACATCCGTAAAAGTCCCAAACCTAATACATTCTACCGTGAGGGTGTCGATTCTGAAAATCAATTCCGAACCTCTTCGAACTATGTATCCGTCCCGAGCCAAATACCTTACTGTCAGCCCAAGGTAGCACCACCCCATGCTGTCCATGCGAGTCCCGCTCTCTGAACACCCCAACTGCGGTAATGTTAGTAATTACGCAAACCAGGGAAAGCAACGCAGGGAATCTCGACCATCGGCAATAGTGAAATCTGTTAGAATCCAGAGAAAGTGATGAATCCGGGGTCAGAGATGATGGGGGTAATCAAGGCGAAATTAGGCCCATCTCCCAATTGTCATCGGTTCCCGTCCCTTTCATTGTTTTTTTAATCATTCTTCCTTTTTCTTAACTCTATTGTCGAAAATAGTAAAACAGCCGCAAATTTCCCAAAATTAATTTCCGAGAATGTTTAAATAAATGGCCGAATTTCTTTTGTTTCTTCTCCCCTTTTCCATTTTTAATCTTTCTCTATGTTTTTTTTAAATTCATTGTCGGGATCATAAAATACAAGGGTTTTCCCCCTAGATTTAAATGCCGTGTAAAATAAAAAAATTCAAGGATATTATGTTTTTTCCTTCTCCCCCACTGGTCTTAATCCCTTTTTCCCATCAGATTCTCTAATTATGGCACTAAAATAGTCAAAAATTTGAGGCCTCATTTCGGCCCCGGTCGTATGCTACAAAAACGTTGCGGTGAGGTCTATTCCCGCGATGCCTCTCCGCAGCAGGCCAATCTAGGTCTAACCCTTTGAACAACCGGAAATGACAGACTCTAGATTCGCCGAGTGCGGCCACCCATCTTGCCATCTTTGAGGGTTACTCGTAGGGTTCAGTGCGCCCAAAATCAGGGGTGCCCTGAGTTCCCCTAATTTCTGCTGCCTGGTCATTCCAGAGTACCGTCAAAACACGGACTTGTCCCTGAGCCTAAGCCCCAAAGCCGCAGATTTCAGGCCTGACAGTTCACCCGGACCACTTCTCGACGCCCTAGTCGAGCCCTATCCACTTACGTCAAACGAAGCGGACGAGCTTCAGGGTGATTGCCCGTAAAGGACGCCCACATCGGCGTTTAATTGTCTTAAGTTTTGGTTTGTTATGAGTCCTGGTGCTAAGAAGATGTTTCTTGACTTTCCTTTTCCTTCGGGATCTTGGCCTTGGTAGGATCGTCTTTTTCTTCCGACGTTGGCCCGAGAAAAGTGCCGATCCGCCAGTTTGTCTAATGCGAACTCTCCATCTGGCCCTCTTGAGCACGAATAATCATTTCTTCTCTCTTCCTAATGCTAACCCTTTGACCTTTCTTCTCTCCACTCTTTTCCTCTTCTTGGAACTTTCCCCTGCGTCAAATCGTCTCGAGGGGGCTCCCTCCTCCATTTTGGCTTTCCCTTTCCCTTTCGGGCTTGTCAGCGATAATGTGGGTGAGGCCTGGGTCTAAACAACTTTAACATAGCATCCGCCACTGGGTCCTTCCGACTCCCTAAATTTTCCACTTCCACGATCCGACCTTCTTCCTCTGTGAGTAGTGGTCCATACTTCTTCTCGCGAAATCGCACCGCGCGGCCGGAGATAGCTAATGACTTAATCTGATCACCGGGTCCCGCACCCACAGCGAGAGCTGCTCTGTTCCTCGGGTCTCGAGGCTCCACCGTCTCAATCATAACCCGCGTCCCATCTAGCTTCTTAATGGACAATGTCTGGCTCCCGTCCGGTCGCTCTATCGTCACCGCATGCACGTGGCTCAACCACGTTCGTCCCAAGAGCAGATCGGAGCTGCAGTTCTTGACTGCAAAGACAGGCAGGGTCACTCGTACCCCTTGGACCTCTATGGCTGCCTTGTGACAAACCCCGATGATCTGTTGCTTTCTCCCATCAACCGTCTCTATCTCGAATAGGTATGACCTATCGAGGCCAAGTCCAACCTGCACTGCCAGATCCTCGTCTATAATGACAGCCTCACTGCCGTTATCTATCACAGCATCCAGTACCGCTCCGTCGTTTATGATCGCCTCCACGGCCCCACTACCAAGTATGTAAAACTTGTTTGGAGGCACACCTTCCATCCCATCAAGAAGGACTATCGCCATGCGATCCACTCTGGCAGTCACCCCCGTTACTGCTACAGTAGGAGCATCCGCCTTAGGGGACCCCTGAGCCTCCTCTGATAGAGGTATGCGAGTCTTCCGCATGATCATCTGTAACTCATCGCGAGCCGGCTTCGATGCCGCCAGATATTCCATAATAGAGCACTGCATGGGCTGCCGAAGGACCCGTCTCAGTGGCTCGACCGTGTCAATCTCATCCAACGAACTCTTCATCAAGAACTTCTTCACTCCCCGCTTTCGCAGTGAAAGAATAACCTCCTCTCCATCGATCCGCTGTCCGTCCTTCTCCGCCATCACGTAATCCGTGTCAGTCTTCTTCGATGTAGACCCTCTCGTCGACTTGGTAGCTCCCACCCTTATGGGTGTGGTCGCCATATCTCCCTCGAAAGTTATCTTGATGCTCTGGCTCCTGACCGGCTCCTTCCTTTACTCGACCTTACCCTCCTTGCTTCTACGTTCTCCTTCATCGAGGGGAACATCGATACGTCTCCCAGATCATCTGCCCACTTGACGTACTTGCGGTCATCAAGTACGACAAGTCCCTCATCTATTGCCCGCTTGAGATCCGGGCAGTCTCTCTTGATATGATAATCTCCTCTACAGTAGACGCAAGAGTTCCTGGGAGTAGATGGCCTGTCGTCTGCGCTCCTAGAGATCGGACCCCTGGCTGCTCTGGGGTCAGGGGACTTCGGATATGGATCAGATGACGGGCCATATCCCCCTCTCTCATTACGGTCGCGCGAATCATTTCGGCGGTCTCCTCCAGATCCTCCTTGCTCATATCGTCCTCGCGAATCATTCTGGCGATCCCCAGAGTCGTATCGCCCACGTGACTCATCGCGTCGATCTCCTCGGTTGTACCACCCCCGCGAGTCGTCGCGTTGTTCTCTCGCGAATCCCCCGCGGTCATACCGTCTGCGCGAGTCATCTCATCGATCTCCGTCTCGATCTCCTCTCTCATATCTGCCACCCCTGTATCCTTCTCGATCCGACCTCTCATATCCGTCGTCCCTGTATCCATCTCGGCCCGACCTCTCATATCTGTCATCCCTGTATCCATCTCATCGGCCTTGATCTGACTCCCACCTACCTCGAGAGTCGCCTCTACCCCCTTCAGCCTCATAACGAGGGCTACGTGAGTAATCATCCAGTCTCCTAGCTCGTCCATACGTCTCGCGAGCCCTGCGGTCCCGGTCTATCTCATCAGCACTTCGTCGCCATGGCTCATCGTCTCTCTCCCTTTTCCTCGCAAGATAATCAGTCAGTGTCCGAGGGTTTCTATCCTCAACACCCCTCTAGGAATCGGTGTTCCTACGGTCCCAGCGAAGTGAATAGGGCCCTTCGGGTTTGTCCCGGTAAGCCGTGGCTCCTGTGGTGGTCACAATCTCTGTAACCTGTCTTGTCAATCCCTTTACCATGTCTCTTATTTCCTTCACTTCCTCAGCCATGACTTCATTCTTTTCCGACCAGGGATAGTCCTTGAAATCAGGGCATCTATCAGTGACATACTCCTTATAGAGAGAGAAATCACATCTCCTCATTCCCCTCCATACCAAGTCTTTGTAGTCGTCTGTCTCTGCCTTTATCGCGAGCTTTAGGACTAGGACTTCTGGGAAGTCAAGCTTGTCGCGCGGAAGATCTCTAAGTATACTCTTTTGTCTGCCTTTGGACAGGTGTCCGATGAAGATAGTACAACGCTCGACCTCTGAGATCTTCCCCTTCTTCATCAGCACGTCGGAGATCTTCTGGAAATGCATCCCAAATGCCCATACGCTCTCATCTTCATCTTGAGTCATTGTCTCAAGATCCTTGATGGAGTACTTGTTATCCTCTAATTTGTAAAGCTCAACGAGGTTCTTCTTGCACGTAGTCCATTTTCCGTCCTTCGGTCGGACTTCCTTAACTTCCTTGCCGAGACTTGGGTCCACATTAAATAGGAAGTTCTCTATAATCTCTTCCTTCGACCACTGACTCGGGCTAGCATGAAGCTCCCACTTCTCCAGATATTATGTGATGCCATAGCCCCTCAAAGTAGGAGGCTCTGAGGCCTTGTGCGTAATAATATAGTGATCTTTGCTCTCGTAAGGGAGCGGGTGTGATTCCCCCATTTGGGGGTCGAAGACACGCCGGGGCGGTGCTCTATCTCTATCTCTGTCCCTCCAATAGGAATCCCTCGAACTCTCTCTCCAGTCGTCCCTATGCCTATCCGCCATGGTCTCCCTTCGCTCATACTCGGGGAGCGTCGTCTTGTCGCTTTTCGTCGACAGCTCGAGGTTCCTGTCTTCAAAGTCTTCTGCGGCTCCGTCACGACTGGCTCGCCCATTACGTCGGGTTCTCCGTCATTGGTTCGGTCAGCCCATCTCAGCGGTGCCTCCCGCCTAATTCGTTCCTTCAGATCCCTCAGAGCTCGGTCGGGCGATGTCCTGTACTCCTCACCTGCTTCGCCCGTGGTCGGTTGTGGCCCCATCGTGTCTGGTTCCATAGGCCACCAGAAGACGTAGTTGGGCACTCTCGCCGGGTGTTACAGCCCTGACCTATGACAATTGCTGCAGCCCGGACCTGTGACAGAACTCGCAGCCCGGACCTGTTTCCTTGTCACAGTTCGCGTCCGCCTCCAATCCTAGCTCTCGACTGCCCTGATTACCACCACCAGTACTCTGTTCCGGTCGTGGATCTCGTGCTCTCCCTCTATCCCAAGAATCCCTGTGTCTAGGTAAACCTCTCCGTCGGGATCGGCCAACAAGGCCGCGCCTCTTCGGATCTGCAGTACACCCGTGATAGGATCTCTACGCCTGCGACAGATCGCAATCCCAAGCCTAACCAATGTCTTCCGATCAGCACCCCTCAAGAGCCCTCGAGCGTTTATCTCCGTCCTCCTTGCTATGAGGTCACCTGTTTAGTATCCGTGGGTAGTCAGTGCTATAGCCGCTCGCAGTCTCACTGCCGACAACTCCAATATATCATAGAATGTCTAAAAATCCTCCTCATCTCCACTATCCTCCAGATCTGATCGTGGGCGGCTAGCACCCTGAGTATTGCACCGTCTGCTACAACTCTCCCTAGCTCCCCAGCTTTCCTGGCTTCGCTTATCTTTAACCTCTCAGCCTCTCTGGTCGTCTCGTACCATGCCCTTATCCGAGACCGCCCTTCGAAAGGTGTCACTCGGAGTACGTATTTTATCCTTCGTCCTCCTTCTATTCCAATCCAAATTCCTGTCCCCCTAGCCTCACGCAGCGCACGGCGAACACACTCTGCCTCCTCAACTATGCACAGTCTGGTATGGAGCTGGAGCTCTACGATCACTAACACCAACGGTCCGTCTAGTCTCCCTACCACATGCAATGAGTACCGGTCTGTCGTGTGTAGTGCGGTCCCGCTCATGTCCTGTCGCTACCTCTCTGCGTTACCTTGTCCTCCGTTGTCACGCCCTCTGCAGACTTCTCCCCAGTTCCTCCACGTGATACCGTCCTAGCCTTTACCCTCTCCAGAAAGTCTGATCTCCACGCCTGGAAAATCTCTCTTTCCTCCCTTAAGAAACTCTCTAACTCTCTCGTCACGAGCTCAACCCTACGCAACTTGCCCTCATCCTGGCACGACCCGATCTCCCTTATCTTGTTCCCTAACTCCTCTACCTGGTTCAAGAGTGGTTCTTTAATGCGCTTCCTCACTCTCACGACCGCCTCACTCTCCTCTTCCATACTCAGTCCACATCTTCTTTAAGCTCATCCTCACACCCTTGCTCTAGCCTCCGCTACCGTCTCATCGTGGTAGTGCTCCGCGCGCATATAACCATGAGACCATATCATCACATCATAGGCAATCGAGATCTGGAAGGTCACCTGCGCCAGTACATCAGCTCTATGCTCGTGGATCAAATCCCTGGCTCGTAGTCGGCACTCCCTCACCGTCAAGTCCTCATCTATGTACGCTCGGAGAAGTACCATCACAGTGTACCCTGTGCTTACCTGTCGTTTATCTACGCGCATCATAGTTGCCGTTCTTCCCGGCATTCCCTAAGCTGCGGCCTCGAAGAGGAACCTCACATCCTCTAACCCCACGTAGTCAATTTTCGCTCGTCTCCTGCAGTACCTAATCAGATCGACTGGCCTCAGACAGTCCACCCAGGAAGTCACGTCTATGATGTCGCCAAGCGTCTCTCTGCTGGGTGGTCCCCACCTTACACAAATGGCGTAGTATGCTTCCCTGAAACGGGGAGCTAAGCCCTCCCAAAGCGCGTAAAGTGTGTGGTCCACTGCTATACTCAGACGATCTACGCTCCCATAGGTCTGGCCTATCACGAACGCAGGAAGTTCGAATCGTTAACCCTCTCTCGGGTAGAGGGTCGGATGCAGAGGGCCGTATACCAAGCGACTCCAATACGTCCTTCCTCCAGAGAGTCTCTTCAGTTGCTGATTTACGATCACCCTGGCCAACAACTCGTTTCTCCACCAAGCTCTGCTCGCTTCTGCAAGTGTCAGCCCTACCTCTAAATCATGAGCTCTATCCGCTATCAGATGTTCTACCCCTTGTAGGTCATGAGTCCTTTCGGGTCGTCCATCTTTCAGTATCACCGTCCAAAGGAAAAGTCCCTCTGCCAGCCACGTTCCAAGGTAACGTATCGGAACACAGCCTGTCTCCTCCAGCCTCACCGGAAAAGGAATATCGTATCCAACAACTGTCTCTCTGGATCTCACAAGTTTCCTCACGCTATAGGATTCGGACTCTCGTGAGAGAACATAAGTTAGCCAGGCCAACGAGTCACTCCTCATCTCCCCTTCTTCACTCGATCTGTATCACTCTACTCCCTTCGTCAATCCCTATCTCGCGTCGTCGCGAACTCCTCAGACAACTCTCCCACTCAGGTCCAATATGGCCGAGTAGGTGCTGTGCACTCTCCCGTCTGCTCCATGGAAGTAGATAGTGAACTCGACGTACCTCTGGCCTCTCCGTATCTCGAGGGCATGCTCCGTCATGAGTCTGATCTGTCGCTCAACATTGCCCAACGCCTCATCTTCCCAGCCGCCTGTCCTATCTCGTTGTAGGGAAAGAGTCACTCTCAGTGTATCCCGGTCTGTCATCCTTTCCTGCTCTTACTGTCACTTTCATCTTGCTTAACGGTATCTACTTTCCGTCTCTCCACTACTCCCTTCTCTAAGCCTCACTCGGATATGCCCTGCCTCTAGTCGTCTCATGCATCTGGCATATCCTCGTCTCCGTCCTCATCTACCCTCTGTCCCCATGGGGTATCCTCCTGTCCCTCAGCCTGGGCCAGATCTGCCCAGCCCTCGTCCTGGTCGCCCCAAGGATCTATGTCATCGAAGTCCTCCCGATCTCGATCCTCAGCATACCATGCTAGATCGCCAACCTCTGGATATACCTACCGGTAGTACTCCTCAATCTCCCCGGTCGAGATGAGATGGCCCGGCCTTTCGTCACGAGTCTCGGCTAACAGCTGTCCTACTCCAGCTAAATGATCTGTAGGCCTCCGAGCCTCTCTCTCTAGTGTCGTCCAGAAGGCTAGGGGTTGGTACAAAGAGTATAGGTCAGGGCTCCTAGTAGGTACAATGGCCCGTAGGAACTTAATCAACTGGAGCTTTCGCTCGCCTACAAGCGGCCCCGCTACAAACTGCGCATACAGCACCCAGTCCCTATCAGCGTACCCCCGGCAGAGGCCGTCCAAGTCAAGAGCCGCAAAGTAGATCTCACCCAGACGCCGAAGTCCCCAAAGCTCCTCCGCCACGAAGCACGGCAGCGTGACTCGCAGTCGACTGCTAGGATATGGGAAGTGTCCTCCAATCCTTAAGGTCGTCGTCACTCTCCGAACACCCACGTGCAGCCGCTCTACCTCGCCCTGCGCGGAGTTCGCTCGATCCACTAAGATCCTCCTCGCAGTCTGCTCCTCTTGCCAATGATCGTGCAAGAGGCCGTGAAAATAGACCGTGGCTAGTACCTCCTGCGAGTAGTAAATATGCCCCACTACCTCTATACTAGTCATACCAGGTTGTCGCCACCCCTGACTGTCCAGCTCGAATGTCTCGATGACGTACGTCCACAAGTGTATGTCTGGGGCCAACACCGTCGATGACCATCGGTTGTCTATCGCATCGGAGGAAACCCCTCTGGCAGGCAGATCTAGCGCCACCCTGTCTGGCGCTA